TGCCATACGATGTCGCGCTATGCACGACGATCTGTACGTGGAGTCCTGAATGGCTCACTGGAGACACGGACACTGGCCCACCGAACCCCTTGACTGCCAGGTTTCACCGAAAACGCGACATACACCATGGGGTCCCCTGAAGCAACCACCTTCGGCAACGCATCGGGCAAGTTCCATGCAATCGAAATGACGGGCGGCGAAAGCAGCTCACTGCAGCTCCAGCAGTTGCATTCTCCGCACCAGTACTGGGCATCTCCATTGTTAACGAAGAAGCAGGTCCATTGTCAACGAAGGAGTTCCTGCCTGAAGGTGCCAAGGGGTGGAGCTCAGAGGGCAATCGCATGGAGCGCATGACAGGACAGGGACACGTTGAGTACTCCAGGCGTGCTGCTACAAGAACTGTGCAACAGATGCTAGTCCCACCCTCAGGTGAAGAACAACCAGAGTCGTGCAAATAGCAAGCATACAATCTTCCGCTATCTAGATTTCTGTGGGCTCCACTCCTACTCTTCCGTCAGGGCACAGGGTTGTCCAATTGGGAACGCAGATACGCCTTGGCGATATCTCACCCACAAGCGATTCGGTGTCAGCATCATCGGGCACCCATCTCGTATTTTTCGCGTCCTGCTGAATCTTTTGTGGCAGAAACTGGCAATGTCTGCGCCTCAAAATCCCTAACGAACGCGCCTCATCACCTGGCTGACAAACTTGTCAGCACATATGGGCCCTTATCTGTTCGTCGAGTCTTGTGCATGAACACACAACCACCAACACATATTATCCTGCAACAGAGATTGCCCCAGGATTCCCAGATTGCAACGGTACCCAGCCACGAATTCACATCTCCATCTCCAGCGCTGCTTGGATGATGACGATTACATCGATTGATGGGAATGACTGTAGCAGCTTAATGTTCTTTGAGAAGTCGCCATCCAGAAGCTCGCTCCTGACATGCATGAGCATGGCAACACATGCTGCAGCCAAAACAAAAACTCACTAACAACCTGTTGTAGTGCTGTGCCATGCACGCTGCTCAATGGAACTTAGAGCATGCAGAGAACAATGGGCATGGACAGCAACACACATGGCTTGACAAGGAGCATGTGGAAAAATTGCACAAGCTAGAATAACAATCGGCATCCACGTGCACATCTGACACCCAGCAACAGGCAATGCGGCTCACCCTTCAGGAGGAAGTCCAGGCGGCTACCAGGAGCAGCAATGAGCGTGTCCCACAGCCGCAGGACGTCAGCAAAATTGAACTCCTGCGTCAGAAGAAGGGTAATCCAGCGAAACGAGTAGTATTGAGGATCCACCTGGCAGATGAAACAAACATGTCAGAAGACCCAAGAAGCAACAAGCGAGGATGCGAGACTACACAGGCGATCATGCAGGCACGAGAGTCAGCCTTAATTCATAGTATCTGGTGCACATCCACTGCTTGCAGGGCTGCGCATAAGGGAACCACATGCACATACACAGCATATGCACTACTGACAACCAGGCACGTCCCCAACGCCCCTTCTTTACAATCCCCGCGAGTGCATTGTGGCACAGCATTGAGGGTGAACATCAGCAATGTCCATTTTGCCAGCCACTGAGCCTTGCTGCCAGCAACCAGTCGGCACGCTAAAAGTCCCCAATTCGTCTACAGGCCTTGCTCGCCTTTAGGGGCTCTTGTAATGATCTGAGTCCAATCCCATGCTGCGGCCAGCACCAGCACCTTTGATTCATATTCCAGGTGCCTCCAAAGCTCCTCGTCGTTCCTCTTTAGGAGTTGAGAAAACCTCTGAATGGTAGCCTTAATCCCAATCTGGCTGTTGTCCTGCCAACACCAACGTGTTAAAAAGGGCTACCAGAAGTATGCTGCGAATGCAAGGCATTTGACGCACAGTATGAACGCTCATTGTTAGCGTTAATGAGAATGATCAGATCCAGCAGACATAGTGTCCACATGCAGGTTAATTCACTGCTCAACATATGCATGTTCTACCCCAAGCAGGTGGATGCGGCAAACATTAGTAGCTACCCCATTTCTTTATGCCACTGATCTATCACAACTGGATAGGCCTTTGGCCCAGATAATTTCTGAATCGTCCACCATCCAGCAAACGTTGGCAAATATTGCATTGGTACAGAAATGCTGCATTCGATAGCATGCATCTAACTGTGCCTCCACTGCCTTCTGAGCTAATTGTGAAGTTGTTTGTTGACCACCATAAAAGCGAATTCTCGGGCATCCATGGATGAGCTCTGGGGATGTCGAGTCGCTGAAATAGCGGCTGAAACAGAGGCCTCTCAAGGCATAAAGTGGGCAACTGGAATACCGTCTGTTGCGTTTGCTGGTCTGGAATAAATAGTTCAAAAGAACCATCACATTGCACGCAAAAGAGAAGCAACGAAATATCAAAGCCAGATTAAAAGTAGAACTAAACCTAAAAGTAATGTCAAGATCTAAATTAAAACTATCACCCAAGAAAGAAAAGTAAAAGATGAACGGCAGCTGCTGGTTCGTCCAAACATTGTTTTGCACTGCAGCATTTCCCATTGAGGCGCACCAGCTGCTTAACGAAGTGGTCTCTGAACTCGCCCAGGAGAAGAATGAAGCAAAAGAACGCGTCTGCTTCTGCATGTGCAGCAGCACCTTTGTCTGGGTCCTTGCTGAACACATAATACAGTGGAGCATAAATCTCGTTGAGCCCCTGGACATAAGTGATGCCTGGGTTCAGCTTTGCAAAGATGAATAACGCCCTCTTGAGATCCTGTAGACACACATGCACATCCATAAGCATGCTCTCACAAGGCAACACGAAAGATGGAAATTCAGGACGTGCCGATCCGCCCATTCTCCACATCCACAATTTCAAAGTCGGATGGACCAGCCAATGTTCCCAGTGCACTTACACCCATCAGACAGTGCATATACCGGCTGTGAACACACAAAGATGTTGAGCACAGGGCACTATGCTCTTCTGCAACGATGTTGCTGCATTTGTTTTTCATACAAAAATCATTTGGCCTTTACTTCGTCTTGCATACTCTTATGAGGTGGTAGAAGGAACATATTTCCTGTCAGGATCTGGGCAGCACCTGGGCAGTCAAATGCGATATAGCACTTTCGAAAGAAGGTGAAGCAGAAACAATGAAACGTGCAGTTGGAAGGTCGCAGAGTTTCAGGCTCTTGACGGTCACTGCTAGCCAGTACCTGGAACAACACAGCGGCATGTGCCCATCGAATCCACATGTCAACACACAAGTCCACGGCCACTTCAATATGGCATACCAGTTTTCTGTGGCTATTTTACAGTTGCAACTTCTGTCTCCTTAAACTGGGATGCCCGCTCATCTGGTACCAACACAAGAGAAACGGACAGCAATCCCTGAAGTGTGCCAGTACCCTGAGGAGTAACTTTGAAGTAGCTACATGGCAGGCCATGCTTCATGCCAGCAGCACATAATTGCAATGCTTTTCCGCTCTGCGCGACTGGGTGGTGTGTGGAAAGTTGCTTTCAGAAACTCGAGCAAACACAATTTCGTATTTCCCGTGCCTGACACTGCCTGCAAGGCGCAAAGGGTTGTTGACAAAGGGTGTTGTGGCAACAGTGAGTCACAGAATTTACGTCCCTGCAGGTGGTGTGACGTAATGCTGAGAGTTGACAGACCAGCAATACCCACCTCCCTGTGCCTGGCAGCCTCTTCCCCATCTCCGCTGAAGAAGAGCATGTCTGGGTGAGTGCGCATCACATCGCGGTCGATCTGCTCCTTCACATCAGTGTCCTGAAAATTTGCAGCAAGCACAGCATATTTCCTTCACAGAACAATTGGCTGATCCATTAAAAAGCCATCCTGTCTCACTTCCCGGCTCAACCTGTGCCCCACATGGTAAGCCCTGTCATGACCCTGCGTTTCAATCAGAATCCTGAGAAACAGTTTCTGGTGAACGAACCTTGAAGTAGGCGTTCCATCTGCTATCAGATCCAAGAGAGAGGGGATGATCCTCGTGTGTAACATCCAGAGCTGTGGAGATGTTGGCTGGATCGCTCTCCTAGAACAGATGGCAATTGGATCAGCTGCTCTCAAGTCAGCGACAGTGTGCCAGCCGTTGCGCATTTAGCCAATTGAACCAATGATGAGCCACCAGATCGCCACTCACAGTTATTGTCCATGTGCAGGCAAATTAACCATGCCCTTACATCCAAGCTCACCGCCGATGTTGTCTCCCCTGCAGGCCTCACAGGCTCAATTGGTTCACCGTTTTCGTCCTTCTTGGGATCGATAATCAGCTCCTGCAGCGACAATTTGCGTTAAGATACAGACTCTGCTGGCTGCAATAATCCAATATTGTGGGGCTAGCTGCCGACTTAAGCAGAGCTTCGGAGTTCATTTGCAGCAATAAGCATGCTGTGTACCTGGCAGAAGGACCTGTACTCTGCACGCTTCTTTTTCAGCACATCCTCCCATTCTTCCTTCTCTGGTGGCAGCAATCCAAGCAGCACCTGCAGGCACAAATTGTGCAGGTGACATCACAGCAACCAGTGTCACGCACTGTCCACACGATGCAAGAAGGTGCTTGAACGACAGTCAATGGCAGTTGTCCCGCCCACTCTCTTGCCATATCCACAAACCAAAATAGCCACAGCTTTTGAACCCATTCTACAATTCCAAAGCTAACTCCAGGTTTGTCCCCAGCTCAAGGATTGGGCTGCACATGCAGTGAAACACAGGACCACAGCCGCAGGAATGAAACCGGGGTTCGCAACTAAAGGCCACAGCATTCGATTCATCACATCTCACAGGCCAAGGGGGGCCTTTCTTTTAAGCGCAAGAAGACAAGGCTGAAGGAAAAATCGCCACATTCGGCTGCATCACACCTTCCAGACGACGGCCCTGAGTCCCTGCTGGTCTTTCTCCTCCGGCACGCCATTCACACAAAGCCGCCGAAGGTTGGATACCTTCACCTTGTCAGCCCGCAGCTCGTTCTGGAACAGCTGGAAACGCCCTTCCACTCTGGAAATCACATTCCAACTGGTGGACAGGGCCACGGTGTCCATATCATCGGGGTGCCTGTCGTGCGCTGGGAACTTGTGCCAAGGCGAATGGTAGAAGCTGTTGACACGGAAGCCTGCCGAGGCCACTTCAGAGAGATTCCACCTCATCTTGGGGCGCCAGCCCTTGCCGTCCTGATGCTCCACCAGATCCCAAATCGAGAGGCAACATTAGAGTGGCACCACGGCGTCCCCCTCAGCCCTGCGGGCCGCAGAGACCAGCAACAGGAGTGCACCCGCGATTGCACAGGAAGTGGCTTCCCGCAGGCCACAACCAACAGGTGCTTGGCCAATGCGGCAGCCGCCGTCCGTTGTGGGGGCAGCTCAAAGCGGCCTGGGGAGCGCGAGTGGAGGGTCAGTCGCTCGAAGGCCGGTGGCTCCGCGTTCCGAGACGATGGGACTCAGGCCACGTGTGCTGGAACGATGATGGTAGCCGGACCTGGCGAGCTTTGTCGTCGCTGCCAGGGCGAGATGGCCCAACCGCATTTCTTGGTGGTCTCGGTTTGCATGGTGTGCAATACTCTAATATGAGTGTACCTTAACACATGACCATTTACCTTTAAATCGCTATGCGTCATCTGACCCCTGTGCGTGACGAAAGCAGCGCGCTCATCGTTACCTGACTCGCTTCCTCTCCTTTCATTTCCCTTGTACGCCGACCACGGGGCTTGCCCACTCACGCTCTGACGTTTTGCCTTTGCCCCGATTCGGGAGCGGGCCTCATGGTCCGTCCCCGTCCGGAACGGAGAGGGGCACATGCCTTGCGTTCCAGGCATTAACGGCACATTAGGCTGCGCTAAATGACTTCGGTCTATCACCTGACGTGGCACGTCACCGTCTTGCCACACATACCATTTAGCCGTCATTTGCCTCATGAACGAGGCGAGAGGGTTGTTTTCAGGCATACCACCGTATGCCTCAGGAATGAGATGAGAGGGCTGTTGTACCCCTTTAAGGGCAGTGGGTGGGTGGGCGCACGAGAAATCCCGCGCGCAGCTCGTGCGGAGCGTTCCCAGCGCTGCGCCGCCTACCACTTCCTTGCGCTCGACTCCAACGGCAGCTCGGTGGCGATGGCTGCGCAGGGTCGTGGTTTGCGGCAGCTGGTGCGGGGAGCGTTAGCTTCTGGCGCGGTGCTGCGCCCCTTTTCATGTCACTCGCTAGATGCGGTTTGTCCGCGACCATTATTCCCTTCCAATCATGTAGACTCAGTGCTGTAACATATTCCCGATGTTTTGCACCTTTTCGTTCCTGCTTCATCCATTAAGAGCCTGCTCACTCGGTGGATGGTTTGCGCAGTTGATGTTAGACGTTCGACGACAATTGTTCCCTGATTGCTGTGTCCATTGCCACCGTCGCTGACTCCACGGCTGCGTAGCACCGTCGCGAGAGTCTGCACCCTCTGCAAACTTGGGGAAGCCCACATGTGGATCCCGTTTCCACCCACACGTTTGGATGGCAAAACCGCCGCTGCGGCCGGATTGGCTAATCGACGCATGGACCCCGGATCACATTCGACACTCTCGGCTTGTGATTGTCACCCGCTCGCTGCAGTCGCAATGGCGGGGGTCTACACCCCACCCCGTGCTCGCGCTCAAGCACGCCCATGGGCCCAGGCGGGCCCACGCCTCCGATCTCCGCAATAACCCCATCAACTCACTCCTGGGCCCGGGGGGCTCGATGCCTCGCCTCGCGGTGGGCGCTCACTGCCTCGCGCACCGCCATCGCCATGCCGATGGCTGTCACGGAGGAGGGCGTTCAGGGAAATGGAGTAGCTCCCCTCTCCGGCGGGAGCCTTCGCGTGGGGCTGCAACTTTGACCGTTGAGTTTTGGGACCCGAGCCATCGCTGCTGCGGCCATCGGCGCTGGCGATGGCCGTCATTGCCTCCTGTCGTGGCCGCGCGGCATGCAAATGGAAACGGAAGATGGAATGTGGGGTGAGCATCACCTGCGGAGGCCGCTTGCAGGGTCAAAACTGGGGAGCGCAAGTGTTATGATTCACCTTTTCTAGGGGGTGAAAGCGAGGTTCTGCCGCCCCCGCCGGGTGGCATAGGACCCGCCCACCGGGCCCCCTCCCCGCCCGCTCCAATCCATGTTGGCAACTTCTGCGTACACACCTCCCCTCCATGCGGCGGGCGCCTGCCTGCCTGCCGATCGATCGCCCAGGGGCATCTGCCGGCTGGCGGAGAGCGCCGAGAGGATGGCGCAAGGCGGAGTGGGCCTTCGCCCGTCCAATCGGCAGCGGGGCGGGCGACGCGGTCGGCTGCAAGTCCGGGCCGCGATGGCGCTTGCATATGCCTGCGATCGCTGCCCGTGGCACGAGGCCCGAGCCGCCTGGATGGCAAGCGCCTGCCTGCCTCCCGATCGATCGCCCGTGCTAGGTCGCCGCGAAGCTGCGCCCACAGCGTTACGAAATTCGGCTGCTCCGCATTTCCCTCCGGCACTGTTATTTTCTTATTCACTGACTCAGGGAAAAAAGGCACAGCATTGGATGTGGGACTGAAAATCAACAGCACATATATATATACTTTACACCTCTCATTCCGAACATGGCCCTGTGGCCCAATGGATAAGGCGTCGGTCTACGGAACCGAAGATTCCAGGTTCGATCCCTGGCAGGGTCGCTTTTTTTTTCGTTGCTTCATCCGTCCACTGCGGAAGTCAGTCCGTGCAACCCGTCACAACAACGGCGACCATTCCATCCAGTTCTGCAACGCCCACGTCCCCTGTGCCAAGGCAGGGAGGGCAATTGAACAACGTTGTGCTGTCTTTTCCAGGAATCGCTGCCTCTTAGTGGTAGGTGTGCCTCACCCCAAATCACTCTCTTGCAAAGCCGTGTAGCTGCAGCAACAAGGCCACAGGGTTGACGATGGCAGAGATTTCTCCTTTGTCACGAACGATGACAGGGGGCCGGGCTAATGAGAGGCTAGGGCTGAGGCGCATGATTGCCGGAAATGAAGGGTGTAAATGCATGATGCCTTCAACACCACTCCCCCCAACCCTAACAGACATCTGATCTGAAACACTGATTTTAACCCCTGTTGAGCACGCCCCAGTGCTCTAAACTTATGTTCCTTCATTTAGCTCAAATCCTTTATACCTCTCATACCTCCAAGCGAAGGGTGTCGAACTTGTGGGTAACGTGGGAGTGTGTTGATTTGCTTGTACGGGAGGCAGACAAGTCTAGGTAAAGCTGTCAAAACCCTTGCCACTCATGCCGGCTGTCCGCGTTGTGTTGGGGCTGCACCCTCCAGTGAAGGGCTGCATGCGATGCAAACGCAAAGTGGCGATGTCCGCACGGCACATAACAAACATTGGAAAATCAAGAGGCACAAATGAGGCCATTGAGTAAAGACACCCACAAGGAATGCCAAATCACTGTTGGGATGCCAGTCGCCGATGACGAGCACACGATCAAGGTACTGTTCCGCCTAGCTTCGCCCATTGGGTATTCAGATGTGCTCAACTGGTCACCGTTTAGAAAAGAAAATCATGCAGCACAAAAGCTACGGCCCACGAAGTCTGCAGTCAGCAGGGATGTATCCATTCCTACAGAGGTGTGGCACTTTCTGACACAATGCCAAGCACACTGAAACAGGTTGCAGTTCATTTTGCTTGCGAGCCAGAGGGTGTGTGCCAGCACTACGTGGACCTTAGCTGGCTTTTGTTGCACTTAAGAGGCTACCAGATATTCAAGCGTAGCAGCAACATGCAGAATTACCGCCTTGCGCAACACAGCTGACAAACCAGCTCACCATGGCGGGACATTCCCAGCCTTCCCCCAGGTGGCAATCAACTGCAGTTCTGCTCTAATATGCTGCCAGGCCCTGTCTGAAGCACTGTGATAACAGTGGCTCATGACAAGAGAACGTGCCAGACATGGGCTTACCAATACGCACACCCACCAGACTGAACAGTGAAATGCAAGTTCGGTGGGAATATGCTCAGATGTAGTTTGCTGCACTCCCCTTGTGTTCCACAGTGCATGAAAACATTATGGAACGATCAGAGAGCCTTCCCGTCCTAAATGATGTTCAACTGGCATCCGCATTTTCCAACGAATTCTCCAGGCTCAGCAATATCCAACAGTCAACAAAGCCACATCCATAGTTTGGTGGCAATTAAATCACTCACGGTTCAACAAACGAATTTTCCCTTGCGCCCATTGCCAACAATCCCACCAAAACTGTCTGCAGACTTCATTCTACAACAAATCAACATATCATCTCACAAAACCCCCACAACGTTGACCAGTGGCGAGCAAAAAACTGGCGGCCAATCTGTCATGCAAAGTTGAATAAAGAATCGGCTGAAGAGTCGAGAAATTTCCATTGAAGAGTCACGGAGTACTCTTTGTGGAGCCACTCCTACTTCCACCAGGGAGCAGCGTCCGTGCGGAAGTCATTCTCCGTCCTGACGCCACCACAATGTCAGTCAGCCATCTGCCAAGATCCGGCTCCACTGCAAGGCCCGAGAGCAGCCTCAGAGAAAACACCATTACGCTGGTGCCAGACAGCCTTCCGCAGTCATACTAATCAGAAATTGGAGGGCATGTCAGACCAGTCCCCAAACAGGCATGCCATCGAACTGTCCTTCTGGGCTCAGCGATGCCCTGCAGTTTGTTCCAAGGTGGGGATTTGTCCACATCCATTCTGTTGGGGGGTAGGAGGGAGGGAGGGGGACTGGACTCTCAAGTGTGATGCCATGTCTTCGAATATAAAGTAGCAAACGTATGGCCCACGACCTACCAGGGGCTGAATTGTACGATGCCGTCTTCAGAGACATCAGCATGAGCAAGCGCCAACGGCAGGGGGGCAGGCCCTCTGATAACCTTTCCTTGGGCATCATATTGTGAGCCATGGCATGGACACTTGAACTTGTTCTCAGCCTGCATTCAATCCAAGTCCCTTCAGTCAGCAGCAAGGCCATACATATCCCTGGGATGTCCTCAGCAGTTTGCAACCATATCCACACTTGTTGCTACCATGCAACGGAAGGCAACTATGTCGATTCATACGGGTAGAGCCAATGAAAGGCAGTGCCAACAGCCACCTTCAGTGAGCATGGACAGCGAAAAAGCGCCTGATCCTCACATTTTCCCATGGCACCACACATTGCATGTGTGTGCACACGGCGTTGACGCCGAACGTCTCGATGGCTTTGTCTTTGGTGACAATCAAGTATGTGGGGTCACCCTAAGCCCACACAAACACAAACGAATGCATCAGTCGCAAATTTACAGGATTTGCATCGCATCTCCTGAGGGATCAAGCAGGGTTTGATACAAGGTAAGAGGTAATCAAGTGGCGCCCAAATATTTTAAATTATCTGTCCATCGTTCGAGGCCAGTGCGAAGCAACATAACAAAGAATGTCCGCAAGAATTCACCAAGGGCGAAGTGGCAAGGTTGCAGGCGCTAGAAGTAAAGCAAGACCATGAGAACTGAGGCGATGCACAAAGGATTACCCCGGAAATTGGACCAGGGGACAACAGACAGTTCACCAAGCATATTGCATTGGCCCCAAATCGCAATCTCCGACACGTCAGCATCATCCTTCGCAGCACGGAAAGTGAGTCTAACAACAGATTTGCTCCTGAGCGGGTGGCCATTGGCCGTCGAATTATTGTTTGTCAGTACCGAGTTGCTTTCTGCACTTGGACGGATGACTGTTCCCCCACCTTGCCCCAACTTAGGTCCCAATCACTGCTAGCAACAACTTGACAACTCAACCCCAACGACCAACCTGCTGGCAGTTTCTGGCAGTCATAAGGTGGGAAGGGCGCCAGGGGCAGCACGCGCCACCGCAGAGAGGGCGCCGGGGCACGGCGACAATCAGCGGCGAGGCCAGGGCTGCGATTCTCCGTGGGAACCGAGTCGGCGCCATGAGTGCGTGCGCGACGATGTCGCGGACGAGTGCCCAGATGTTTCCGGCCCGTCAAGATCGTGAGGGGCCAACTTGTGCTCTACACCACGCCGGTCTGATCCGCACAGCTAGACAGGCAGTTGACAGCCGAGGTTCAAATCTACCGCGAAGATTGAAAACCCCGGCGCGATTGTGGACATCGCCACTCTCGCCTGTGTCGGTGAGCAGCCGCGGCGGAACAGTCAAATCCATCGCCTCCCCGACCTTCTTGGACGCTGTTAAAACGGCGTGGCCGCGTCGCACTCGCCGCTCGCCGGGGAGGCGTCCGTCGCGGCCAATTTCGCGGAGCATCGTGGCCCGGAACGTCCCGTCTGGACTGCACCGCCAGGGCAATCCCTCTGCCTATTGTTCCGCACTTTTCGCAGAACGGCTGCTCGGTCGGCTGCTACACATCCAGTCGGCCCGATGTGGGTGGAGAAGGGCAACCTGGGTCCTGCTGTTGAGCGCTAACTAAAGACGAACGCTGAGCCAAAAACTTGTTGGGGGGTCCTGAAACGGGCGCCAGCGGCCAGGATCTACATTGGCCTGGGTGGTGGAAGAATTTTTGGGTTTCGGGGAGCATGCATCCGAAAGAGCGCAAAACATCCGTTCACGTCCAGGACACAATGTTCTCTCTGCCCATTCCATTGTTCACCGTTTTTCTCCTTTCGATTGCAGAAAACGAGCAATCCACAACTTCATCGCACACCTTGAGCCCTTCAGTGAGGGACCGGTCGCCCGGGAGATGTGTTTCCACCCACTCGCTGGCCCTGATGTCTTTACCCTGTTGATCTTTCGCAGCCTGGGCACCACCACCTCCGCTGGACCTACAAACACAGGAGCGTGAGTCCTGGCTGTGCACTCCCCAAAGGGCCTTCGCCAACCCGCACAATCAAAAGTGATGGAAGCACAGGGGGATCGCACTGGGAGGGCACCATCCACGGCAATCACACAAGGACTGTGCCCATGGCCGCCCCATGCACACCCTCCAAAGGCCCTTGCATCCCACAAAGTACCGCACAAGACAGCCCGCATTTAGATTTGTTCACTTGTATTTTCTCATAGGACTCGGTCCCAAACAGTCCCAATCCCCCTCCCGACACGGAACAACTGCCTTCCCAGCCACATGATCGCAGCTCCCTTGCATCCACCAGAAAACCTCTAAGACAGCACCCATTTTGCAGCATCTTGGGCCCAAGCAATCCGGCCCGAACTCGGCTCCAACCGACGCGAAACCAACTCGCTCCGGAGCGGATGCCAACGGATGCCAATCCATTCGGTCCCCATCGTTCACCCCCGATCACCCGCCCTCCCAGTCAAGCGTGGCCGTACCCTTTGGGCACAAAGAAGCCCAGGAAGGGCCCCGCCAGTCCCAGCGTCACTGATGCAGCGCTGCCTAACAGGATCAAGTTCATGGTGGCCCTCTTGTCCGCGTCCGGCACCTCCGCCGCGACTAGCGACGTCATTCGGGCGACGCGCCTGGGAGCCGCCCGCGATCCGGGCGTCCTCGCGCCGAGCGGCTTCAGGCCGCTGACGCCGCCGGCAGGGGCCTTGCCCGCCTGCGGCGCACGGAGGCGTGACTGCGGAATGGCGCACGATGCCATAAGGGCGGACGGTTTTGTGCTTGGCGGGAATGCGAAATGTGCATTAGACGTCTCTGGCTGCTTGGCTCGCATTTGTAGCTATTACTCGAGGAACGAAGGCCGGCGGAGGGCCGTGGCGGCCGCGAAATTTGCGGCCGAGGGTCGGCGGCAGACACGTGTCTGGGTGACTTAACAGGAGGGCGATATTTGGTTGGGATGATTAACCATTGATAACCGTTGGTTGTTGATCCATTACTCATGACCAGTCACAGTGGCTTGCAGCCAAGTCACCGCATGCTGTGGGGAACGCGGGCCGTGCACATCGATGTCACGTGGTTTTCTCGCCTTGCTCAACGACCACTGTTTCAATGGCTAGCCCACTTATGATTCAGGCGGACGATAGGTCGCAATGATCAATATGTGTTCAGCAGAACATTTGCAAGAACATGGACATCGGTGCCACCACCCAAATCTTCAAGTCTTGGGCGACCTCACTGTCAATGATGCAGCTAACAAAGGGCACATTCTGAGGTGTCTGCACATCCCTATCCTCTTCCCCCCTCTCCCCCCACCTTCCTTTGGACATTGGAATAGATATGATGCAACTGACAACGGACATTTCCTGAGGTGTGTGTGCACATTCCTATCCTCTTCCACACTCTTTTATTGGAATAGGCTTTGGTTCATGGAGAAGGGACCGCGCATTGCTATCATCTTGGCATCATTCGTGCATAGACACATGCAGGCCATCAAGCTTCCCAGGTTGACATTGTGCTTCCCGAAAACACAGTTTCTCCATCCCATCTCTTTGATTCCTAAATACCACACTACATTTTAAACATGACATCGCAGTTTCCCCAGCCTCTTGTGCTCACCAAAGCTGAGCAAGGTTCTATTTTGCAGCAGTGCACATTCTCGCCATGGCCAATTACAAATTTTGCCCAGAAGGTGGTTACCCAGCGCATTACATATTTCGCCATTTCGCCACGGTATTGTACCAACCATGCTCCGGTGGGTGTGCCAACAATGGCCGAAATGAGACGATTTCGTGTATGAGATGATTTATTTTTTCGGTTGGGTGGGAGGGTTGGACACGACCCTTGCCAAATGCACGCCACCTTCCTGCTCTGTCAATGCTCCAGTCCCTGGCTTGCCTCCCGTCTCTTTGTTGCTCTCTGGCCAGACTCTGGTCACCGGCGCAACACCGCAGCAGCGTGCCAAAGGCGCCTACAAAGGGCGGCACGGACTCTCTGATTCCCTGCCACCACGCAAGGCACGCTTAGGCATTCATGGATTACTATGACGCGGATGCGGTTGACTTCGACCAAGAGGACGCAGGGTTCGACACCGAGGTGGGGGCCTTGCCATCGCTGCAAAGACCGCAGTGAACGTGCTGTATGTGAGCGAATGGCCGGAGCGGCAGTCGTGCGGCCAATGTGTTGACGACAGCTGCTTTCGAATCGCCGTGCAAACTGAATGTGCAAAGCAAGACGATGGTGTCGTCGCTTGCGTGAGTGCAGGGCTACGCATCCTCTAAGGAGCTCATTGTGTTTTTGATCGACGCACATCGATCAATGTTCAGCAAGATTCAGGAAGTTAAGGTGTGTGGTGTTCAAAACAAGCATTTTTCATGGGATATTTGAATGCCAACAATCCTGGATATTCCCATTGTGCGGACAGATTTCTGCATTCATTGTGGTTTGCAAGTGTCAGCCACAGGCTATGTGCAAATTGTCAACATGCTGGGCACCATTTTGTTTGAAGTTTTGTTTGTTCAGAGTTTACATCGCCTTCGAGAGTCCAGGTGACAACCCCGTCCTGATAGGCGTTGCACCATCTCGCAAGAAAACGGAATGCGATGTGAAGTCCAAAAGTTTGTTTGTATGAAAACGAAACCTCAGTCTCAATATCAGAAATGGTTCAGAACTGCATATCAGTGATCTTTGCGAATCGCAACTGTCTGTTTTGTTTTAATGACTCCAGCATGGTTGTTGATTGGTTTGTGCACATCGGGCGAATGGACTATGGGAGAAATGGGTTCATGGTTTATTTGTGCGAGTATTTTCTTGTCTGACACAGCTAATATCCACAGCAATGGCGTCTGAAATTGTTGTGTTTCTTTTTTGCTGGTCCCTGTTCATTACTTCTGAAACCCACCAAATGCACAGGGTATCAACAAACATAGAGTGTGTTAATCCTGTGGTGGTTCAGGAGTATGAAGACGCAACTTGTTTTGAGCTGGCCCTCAGGGTGGCAAAAGACATGCTGAAAGTGAGGATTCAGGCCTCAGAATCTGATGAAATCGCTGTGGTATTCTATGGAACGGTAAGCTGTATGCTGAACTGGTGCAATAATGAGTAATACGTTGTGGGCTCCCACAGCACCAATCACAGGGGATCATTCCAAAGTGATACAGTGTTGGAGACGACTCCACAATGGAGGATTCAAGCAAGGATGTCAACTCTTGTTGATAAGGATGTGGTGCAGAATCAGCATAGAGATGCTGCCACCCAGTATGGTGCTTGGAATCCAGTGTGCCCCATGCATTTATGTGAGGTGGTTTTGATCGTGCTGCCAGGTGCTTCTCTTCTGGATTGCGCCTCTGCATTGTAGTCAACGGTAAAATGTATTTTCCACCTGTCTGTGATGCAAGAGGTTGTTTCCTCAGCAGGGCATCCCCCACAAAGCAAGTGTTTGCATGTTGGCGGTAACAAGATTTTGCTGCTGTATGTTGTCCATGTGCACAGGCTGATATTGCAGAACCTGACTACCCTACAGACCTGCCTGTGCCCTTGCACGATGCCCACTATTGCCTTCGTTGCTTGAACACTTTCAGGGGATAGATGGCCAGCGAATCGGAAGGAACAGATTCTTGTGCACTCACAGTATGGCTTGAATATACAATGGTGGTGTTTTGTCGTTTCTGGCAGCTGCAGTCAAACCTGAATTGCATTTTGGTGTGCTTGTTCTTGCTGTGTTTCACATGAACACCATTTGAGCTCTGCACACCAGTATGTTAATTCACTGGTGGCCTAGACGCTTTAAGTTTGGTACAAGTGTTCATGCATCCTGTATGTGGCACATGGATTTTCCTGAATTTGTTATTCAGACACATTCATAGCTAGTAAATGCATCGAATCAACAATTTAAATCGCTGTGCATTGTTCCAGGAAACATCCCAGAACCCCAGTCAATTTCAGAATGTGCATGTCTTCTTGGACCTTGATGTCCCTGATGCGATGAGGATCTGCAGTCTGGATGAACTGACAGGTGCTGGGGAGTTTAGCTCCTTGTGCTTTGGCCTCTGCCCCTTGTGTCAACCATGCCATTTGGATTGGCAATCCTATTGCGCTTTTCTCTGTGTGAGCCTCCAACAATGATGCTGTACCTTGTTGGTGTGAGAGTGGCCTGCATGGCTCCCAATTTGCAGCTTTTGCAATCCTGATCTGTCCCAACAACTAATTTTATTGCTGGTGCAGAGGTTTGTAGTTTGCTGGCACTTGACATGTTTGACTGGGAGTGCCTATCGCACTGCTGCCAAAATTGCCCAGCAATACTACTCAAATGTGCATGTTATCAATTTTGGCAATGTTGCTATTACCATGCTGACTGTAGCAATAATTGCTGCCACAATTTCACAGAACAGTGCTGGCGGCATCTGAGGACAACAAATGTTGTCATTCAAGCCACTGTGACACCGACACACCCTGACCTTGGTCTGTCTCGACACATGCACACATGTTCTACTCTGACAGGCAGGAGCAGTTGCTTGAACTCATGTTAGGTTAATCCATGGATTTGGAAATCAATATGCCAGATTACACGGCATGCATGTGACCCTTTGTTTGGTGAGGATTTGGGATGGCCAATGCACAAAATTGTGTGTCTCCAGTTGAGAAGTTCCAAAGCGAGATCCAGAGCCAAAGTGTTTCCAAGGAGAGGCCTGTAGAGGCTCTCAAGTACGCTCTGTGGACAACAAGCCAGATGTTTGCCAGCAGGTAGGGTGATATCCAAGTAGTTTCCTAAATGTGAGGAAAAGCTTCCCACTTTGGAAACAATTGCTGTGTCTCACTAGGTTGCAGTCAACACACTTGTTGTGCTTTTCGGCAGTGCATCCAAGGCCAGCAAGAGAATATTCCTGCTCACCAACAATGAAGATCCGTGCAGTGGCTCTGATGTCGGTGAAGCGTTGAGGTGAGACATTGCAAGCACACATGCATGCTGTCGAATCCTGCAGCCGTTGTGGGGAAGGGCGACTAACACAATGCTGTGTGCAGAACTCAAGTAATTGCTCGTGCTGAGGAGCTGCGCGATGCCCAAGTGGCACTGCAGCTGTTTGCTCTTGTACCTCCTGGAGCACAATTCGATCACGACAAATTCTGGCGAAGCGTCACAGACATATTGAAGGACGAATCCCAGGATTCATGGGAGGATGGTAGTGACGTGCTGACACAGTTGGATGCCCTCCTTCATTCAGCGCGACGTTGCCATTACAAAAAACGAGCAACAACATCGACGAGATGGCATCTGGGGGAGAATCTTGAGATTGCAGTGCAGGTCTGTCGGGATGCCAAATAGCTTTGCTTTCCTCTTAGCCCTCGCAGTCTTCGCAGCAAGTTTGCTTACGGTTATATGTTGCTAGCCTTAGAAAATATCACAATTTTGTCCAGTGACGAGTTCCACAAGCAAGTCAACTACACCGATGGCCTCATGCATACAGCCAGCTTGGCACTAGCGAGGCGCGCGAATGCACGTGAATGCACGTGAACATGAAATGCTGGCACCAAAACTGTTGAAAAGGTCATGTGCATTCACCTGCAAGACACAATGCTTGAATGTTGTTTTTTGTGTCCACTTTACTTGTATGCTGGTGACATGTGTCCACATTAATCATGCACAAGCAATGCTGGTGAAATGTTTCCACATGAATCGTGCACAGGCAATGGAAGTTGCATCAAGTCCTGCCTGTGGTTTACTACAGCTTGCTTGCCATTTTACTTTCGTTATTTGCCCCTTCGCAGAAGAGACAATCAACTTATGTTTTTGTTTCAGCCTCGTGCTATTTTTTACTTGGTTGACTGCTTTACCAAATTTACAGCATTAAGGCATATTAGGAGGCGGTGTCCAGCCAGTCCATTTAAATGTGGGCCTTTATGCATCTGGGCAACGTATCTAGTAGCCAGTCAACAGCAAAACTGCATTTGTGTTTAGAAGGTCTCCTTGCCACTGGCATTGACCAGTGGTGATTTTGTGCAGCAAAGTTGCAGAGGACGCCTGTGCTTCACGCTCTTAAGCACGTGCGGTTTCATCTGTGCAGTTGTTTACACTGTTGCGGAAAGCTGACAAGGGTGCAACGGTTTTCTTGGATGGAAAGACTAATGAAGAACTTCGATCGGAAACTGCCTATGTGTGTCAAGGCACGGGCGCGATTCTGAGTGACGTGTCATGCTCATACTTTGAGCCAGCGAGCGGAGACAAAAGCAGGTATCCCAAGGTAATGGACTCTGCACCATCCAGTAACAATTCACCATCTTCTCATATCCATGAGTGGAGTGCGTGTGTATCGCCGTTGGTTGCGTTGCATTGAACATCAACATTGTGAAGTGTTGTGCCTCCAGCCCATGCTTGTATATCTCCACATATGCCTGACACCCTGAAAGTTTGTCCACTGAATATGGCGGCTGTTGTCCACCACAAAAACGTTTGATTGTGCTGTGCTGCTCAGGTTCTTTTTCACAAAGATGAAATGCGCGCTGTGCGATGTATTCGCCCACCAGGTCTCACCCTGCTGGGTTTCAAGCCCCTTTCTTGCCTCAAGGACTGGCATCAAGTCAGTCCCCCAAGCTTCGTTTTCCCCGATGAGAAGCAGGTGAAGGGTAGCACCACTGCCTTCATCGCCTTCCACGACCGCATGCTGGCATCCAAAAAGTTTGCCCTCTGCCGATTTGTGCGCAATGAGCGAGCGGAGCCACAGCTCGTGGCCCTGGTGCCGCAGCAGGAGGTGCTGGACTCCTTTGGGGCTCAGGTATGGCAGGGCCTGGACAACATCAACGTGCTTTACCTAGGCGGATTGCATGTGCATATCGAGGTCATCAATGTTATGCCCACCGCTGGCTGCCATGGCTTTGTTCACTCGACAAGCGCAACCAAGGAAAGATTCCAACACTTGCACACGGCTTGATTCCCCAATTAATAGCACATTTCAGAAATTAGTACCTCTGTGCCTGTGTGGAATGGTGTTGTTGCTTGTAGCCACCATGTGATGTCTCATACTCCAGCTTGCACATAATGCTGTCAGCATTATACGTCAGCATCATACTGCTGTCAGGTCAGGGTGCTGGTTGCCAAGCAAGCAATCCACCCACAGTACCGTTTTGGCACCAAGGATATTCTTGTGCGATGTGAGGGCATTAACAGTGCTGTTTAGTGAGCAACAGCTGCCGGGACAACAGCACCCACTGATAAAGATGCTCTCACAAAAATGTTTGGGCAGCAATAGCAATCATGGCAATTGCCTTCACACCTGCCATCCCATGGCCATATGGTGACAGTAGCATGCATAGTTGGATATTTCATCCATCAACAGCGGCCCAACTAGTGTTACTGATGCTGAAACAGATGATGATGAGGGTTGGCAGCTTTGGGCTGTAGGGATGTTCTCCCATTCAGTACATTGTCCAGACAGGTGAATTGTGCATTGCAGCTGAATTTCGTGTGCTAAAAGTACCATAGTCATATTCAGGTACAAGGTAACCGTTGCCAATGCCTACACTGCAATCTTGATCCCCAAAGGCAAGGCAAAGAACAAAGGGGCTCCATGGGTTGGGCAGAAATCACGAAGCAGTGATACGCTCAGCAACTGTCACAGTGTGCCCCATGAGCGTTAACAGTGTCAAACTCAAGCTCACAAGTCACCAGCTTATCTGCACAGGTGTGGTATTGTTGAAAGTTCTGGCCAGCAATGGCCTGGCTACTGTTTGTTAGCGCATGTCCCAGCAGTGTTGTCGAATCAGGATGAGGGGTGTCCTGCATGACTTGCCTTGCATGACGGTCTCTGCTTTGTTGCAGATAGAGCCGCCAGGAATGCAGATGATACATCTTCCATATTCTGATGATGTTCGGTATCCAGAAATCGATCGCTCTGTTATTGGATTTGAGATCAAGAGAGCAACTGAACATCAGATTGCCCAAGCGAGAAAGGTGGTGAAGGGGATATCCTTGCCTGCAGAGTTTATCAGCTATGAGTGTGCCAACCCTGCCATTGAACGTCACTATCAAGTCATTGAGGTGAGGGAGACAAGCGAACAAATCACAAGTCATCGTTTCTGGAACACCGCTAAGTTGCCTATTGGCAAAGCAATCCAAGCTCGGATGCACCAGGCAATGAGATAGCAAAGTACGCGGTACTCCGTATTGCATGCAATATTTCGTGAAGAAATTGTGTGTTGCACACAAAGCAAGCAATGACGCAATACGTAGCCGTGAGATACACATTGCACTGCGGAATCACGGAATCGCCCAGTAAACCCATTGCTGGATTTGCGCAATTCGGCGCAGCGCTTGTGTTTCTAAGGGTGACGCATTGCATCACGTTGCAATCCGCAACCACTGTGGGTGAAGCAGCTCTGCAGATTGCGGTGCCCCAAGAAGCAACGCAGCGTAGTTTAAAAAAATCAAGTAGGGGGCTTGTGTGAATGGAATCCAATCTTTAAAATGTGAAGCAATTCCGAATCGACTCATCCAAGCTCCGACATTGCGATTCCATCTCTGTTGCGACCACAATCGAGCAGACGAGAGGCCCATGTTCCCGGGGCTTCCATACGTCGTTCATGCGCTCTTTGCGTGTGGCGACAGGCTGTGGCTTTGCAGAAGCCAGTGCCCGACGTTGAAGACATGACAGACGACACGGTACCCGATGTGGAGGGCATGAGGCGGCATCTCCCCATCGTGCAAGCATTCAAAGATGCAGTGTACCCGCACGGGGCCCCCGTCCCCAGTGCCCCGAAGTCGGGCAAGGCGTCGCTCGCAGGGTCGAAAAGGAAGTCAAGCGACAATGCAGATGCCACAGCGTGTGCCGCCTCAGTTGATTGGCACGGCCTGGCGGAAAACGGGAACCTGGGGTCGTTGACAAACAAAGTGTTGAAGGCATACTTGCAAAGCCACGGTCTGCCTTGTAGCGGCAGCAGAAAAGCAGATTTTGTTGAGCGCATTAGGGAGCACCTTGGGTACAGAAAATAGACCAGGCGTGTTCATTTTGTGGTCAGAAAACTGTGGCCATTGATGTGTTCCCTGTTTTTCTAAGTTTGCATACAAACATGCAATGGCCGTTGGTGGACGCATCGCTGTGCCTGCTCTTGCCTCATATCCGCATTTCTGTCTCTTGTGTCCACTATTCAACGAAGCAACACAGTCACGCTGCACAAACAGACAAGGCTATCGGTATGTACCACATACATGTGCATGTGACAAAGCCGTGTGGTATTTGCTGTCGAGAGAACATTTGCCAAAAGCGGATGTTCCCAACTCCTGTGGATGCCTAATTCGAATTGTGCGAAATTGGCGTCCGGGCCGTGCCAGTCACAGATCCTGTTGCCCTTTGGCAAGGTAGTGTCCTGCGATTCCAGATTAAACTGTGCTGACAAGGGCCCTAAGCGTGTCTTGTACTTTCGTATGGAAGTACTGTCTTGCTATCTAGGTGGCCCAGAGCATCGCAGACCATTGTGAAGGGGCGCAGGATGTCTCAAGGCGCCACATCGCCCCTCCTTGCGCGCCTCTCCGCAGGATGCTTGTGCCATCTCGCATCCCAAGTGGGGCTAGCAACTACGGTTTGGGTGCCCAGAGGCACGTAAGTACCGTGGGTCGTTGCGTACGCTGTCCAGTTTGGGCGCCCCGCCAGTACTGAAGAGCCTCGCTGGTAAGAACAGTGGATATGGTAGGACACAAGCGATTTCTATAAGGCATGACCGTTCTCCTTGGCAACGGGCATAATCCCGCGCATAACTCTTGGGCCATTCATTGCTGCTGCGGGGTCACCAGTACCAGTTGCGTGCGTTGGGGTGTCCATATCTTGCAATGGTACATCATGCATTGGCCTGAAAATCGGAGCCGAAATTCCCATACCTGCAATGCCACTGTTGTGTTTCTATCACCTTCCACTTTGCGTCCAGTTCCTCAAGCTGGACAACTCAGGGAAGGCATCGCACTGACAGACTCTACAATGACTTGGCGAGACACGGGTGGGCGCAGAACCTGTTGGAGGCTGGCTGGTCTGTACGCTGCAATACGCATGCTTGGCTATCATGGGTTTCTGACCAAAACCCACGGAATTACCAGCCAGGACTCCCGAAGCTGTCAGAGCTCATCATGTGCCACATTCCCAACGATTCTAGCCATCGTCAACAGACCGCTTTTGTGTGTATGTTGGCAATCAGGTGCGCTCTGCTCCATGTTGCGCCATTTGTGCACCATTGGAGCCGCCTCTCACTTCTGCACTGCAGGGCCCATCTTTGACACTGACTGCGGGCACTAGTCCAGTGCCCCGGTATCTTGGCACCAAATAGCCGCTGTCTGCGCGCCCTCATGTATTTTCGCTGCCAAATTGGCTGGATACGCATCAGATCAAGTGCGCGCAAGAATTACAAACACAAACACACATGCCCCAGGTGCCACGCGCTCTATCACGAACGCATGTGCGCCAGCCGCAAGCTGGCTGTAATTCAATCAATCAATCAATCAGTCGCGATGGACGATTCCTCTCCTGCAGATGCCACATCAGCAAGTGTGGCCGATTCCCGGGCCCCTCCCAGCGAGTAGATGGCGCAAACGGACCCTTTGCCGCCCGACACCAGCATGTTTTTGTGTGGGTGGAACGCCACACAAGTGACCGGGCCCTGGGCCCCATCCAGGCCTTGTCGCCGGGGGCGCACGGCGCCAATCTGCATCCACGGTCCAAATCAGCAAGGTGCAGCAACGGGTGATGGACACAAGCAACACTTATCCCACTTCTCATGAAAGCAAATCCGCCACAATCTCGTAGTGCACTGCCAAGCAACCTCAGCTCTTTGGAATGGCGTAGGTTGAAAATACAAACATTTCCAAAAACGGACAACCTGACAACACAGAAACTGTGTGGCGATGGAGCGGGGCAAATTCTCCCGTTTTTCCTAAGAAGCAACTCATGGTGGAGGCACCAGGAGACCAACAAAAAAGAAGAAGAAGAAGCGCGCAGTCTTTATGAGGCCCTTTTGTCATTCGTCATCTTATTCTGCAAATGCTGAGTGAAAGAGAAACAACACGGTCCACAAGTCAAGTGCACAATCGGCAATTTGTTCTTCCCCCTTGATGCTCATCGGTGTCATCGCCTTTTGCAATTGTGAATCATTTGACATTAGTGGGCGCTGCGCCACGTTCAAATTACTGTATGCTGCTGGCGTTCCTATTGGATACTCAATGCCATATACTGGTATGTGTTGGTGCAGGTTTCCAGAGCAAGCTGTCGAGTATGACATTAATACTGCATATCCGTGTGCTTGGCATTTTAACCCAATCTCCATCTCGAGACCTGCTTCACCCGTTTGAGAGATCTGTTGGGATCTTTCTTTGCTCAGCCAGCGCGATTCCCAACGCGCTAGGGCATCTTACAGGTTACCGTTCAATTGCCTATTATATTGCCTACTATATATTGTTTCTCAGTTTTGCACCTGCCCACACAATCTCCATACAACTGCATGCAATGTTTCCTTGTTGTGTAAGTTTCAATGCTGTCTGTGCTGCTCCGTACTGTGTGACATTCCACCTCCACTCGGAGACTTCAGCCGATTGAGCACAGCTCAGAACGCGATCTCGCCAAAATTGCCCGTGAGGGAGATTCCGTCGCGTGGAATCTTTCTTTGCTGGTCAGAAAGTAATATCTGGTTCCCCATTTGATCAATAATCAATGTTCACGGTCTGGGGCACCTTGTTGTACCGCCTGTGAGCGTGGATAGGGAACAATGGCCATGCAATTCCCAGCGCCATGCAATACCGCAACTACCATATTGTCGTACCTGGTCTCCATCAAAGGTCCAAAACTTCACCACTGGCTGCAGCGTTCCTGAAGCCAAGAGGGGCACTCTCCGATGGGCCGCAAGGGCGCTGACGCCTCCGCTGGAGTGGGCTTGAAATGTCTTCACTACACCCATGTCCAGGTGCGGCTCTCCGCCACCGAAGCCGCGCAAGTCCAGCAGCTTCATGGCGCCGCCCTGAGACACGATGGCCAGCCGCTCCTGCAGACCACTTGTTGAGGTGCACATGCCTGTAATCCATGAACCAATACGTCAGTCATTTTCTATTCGGCCCCAATGTCTGCAGCTGCTCATGCAGGCCCCCTGAACCCACATCCCTGTTCAATTCGTCCTACTCTTTTACCGACTTCCTTAAATCCCCAAATGTTACTTTACGTTTGAGAGTCAAGGCGCCAGCTCCTTCCTCAATGGGATGATGTGGTCCCTAAATGATTGGTCATGTGAAATGGACTGCAAGCTCGCCATCAGAAAGAATTCGAGGCTGTGGAAAAGAGAGGGGTGGGTGGGTGCGGGTGGGGTAAAAGGGTGTGTGTGAGTGCATTGCATGACACGTTGTCCACACTGTCGTTATGGCCATCTTCACCTGCGATGGGGTGCTGGTGCGAGAAGGGCCGCATGCTTCCCATTGCTCCATTGGGCGCACGCAGGTCGAAGATCTTCAGTAGCCCATCAGAACATCCAGCTGCAAGGATGTCAGGCGTCACAGGAAATGTCCGGAGGACGTCGACACTTGGCCGAAAGTCTTTATCAACAGGAATCTGTGCCACACAAAGAGCAGCGTTGACTACTGCTGTTCGTTCCTGTGCCTTGTACAATCGAAAGCAATATTCCCAGAAGAGCATATGTGGGAAAATGACACCTTGTGCCACGAATGCTGGCAGGGGGAACTTCAGATGGAGTAACTACCAGCGCAGCTTGTGAGATGCCAAGATGTCTGCATCAACCTCCTGAAGCCTGACAGAGGGTCCTCTGGACTGCAATGGTCGCCGTGACAACGGCCCTGGCACTGTCATGGACATCGCAACCCTACGTCCCGGAACGGTGCGTTCGCCAACAGTCTCATTCACAAAGCAGGGAAACAGAGCAACTAAAATCTCTGCGTTCCTGTCCATGCGCACGACTTAAATCCAGATATGCAAATTGGCCGAAAGCAGATCGACTTTCGCACTCGTTGGAAGAGCAGCAGACGTCTTCGACGAGCCCTTCGATTGCTGTCTGTATGTGGCCGAATGCACGCATATCAAAAAAGTGAACAGAAACAACAACTGCGCCATCTGTTCACCTGGTGCACTTGGATCCCATACTCCAAGTTCCACCTGTTCACCATTCCAGGATTTCCACCACCAGAGGAGAACAGGTCGCCAGAGCTCGACTGGTATTCAAATGCTGCCGGCTGTAGCACGAATTCAGGGGGCAATGTGACGCGAACAGATTGCCATGCGCTGACGATCTGTGCTTCGCTGGGAGATGTGCATCCCTTCCAAATGCGTACAGCGCCGTCAGCTGAGCAGATCATCAGCATGTCAAGGCGGTCTCCATTCAAGGGGAAGACGGAAACTGGATCGGTCGGCAGCAGATCCACATCTTTGGAGCCATTCTTGACACCTGCGCACAGATGGCACCAGAGCATTGGTGATAGGCTTCTTTGTACAATTGAACGTAACCCCTTGAGGAACTTAGAGCATAGGAGGGGCACTGCAAATATGATAAGATTCCAAGGGACCACTCCAGCCACACACACATCACGATGAGACCACATCAGCAAACAAAAAAGGACAACAACTAGAATGCATGTTGCCACTCAATCTTGCATCTCTATGCCGTACTCATTGCGACATACTAGTAGTATGTCCAAATGCTATCCCCATGTGTGCAGCACACTGAAGCGCACATTATCCATACACTGATTCTCCTTGGGAAGAATGACTACCAAAGGCAGCATGCACCCAGCAAAAGAGCACAGTCAGCACAAGTCTGCCAGCCCAACCCTGCTCTGTCATCGCATTTGCACAAAAGAACATTGTCCCACGACATTGAATATGAGGACTGCAGGGAGGTTGACATCTGAAAAGCGGCATGGAAATTGGCCACAAAAAAGACATCCAAATCTCCCTCAACGCCAACTGCAGCATCTGCCTCTCAACAGCAGCACTGAGAACAGCACAGTTCAGCAGAATCAGCCACAAAGCGAGGTAAGAGGTTCACAACTTCTCATAGTGCCATCACCCTTAGATGCCTTGAAGGCGCCAGTATACGAAATGTTGAGCTAGACAAAATTTAAAGGGGGTACACACACCTGCTCCCACATGAAAACAGTTCACAGGAGTGTTCCTGCAGTAGTCCATCACGTGGACTGTGCCTTGTCGGTCTGCAGCACAGACGAGTGGCTCTTCGCTGTCAAAGAGCACGAACCCAATGGACTCAGCGCCTGTTTCGATGTTCACAACCTTGTCTTTGACCTTGTGGGCCCTTGAGTGCTGCAGCTGGGAGGAGGATAGGGACTTGGAGTTCTGTCGTGTGTGTCCAGGAGGTGGGATTGGAGGTGGCCATCCTTGGCTGATGCTCCCTGAGGGAGCATGATTGGCAGGTGCCTGAGGAAAAAGGACAAAAGGATTGAGTCAGCATGCAGCATGCTATAAATACTGTTGCACAGTGGGGCACGGCCTGTGTGACACAGAAATCATGTGTGGTGCAGTTGTGAAATATGGTGCACACCCATGTGCTGGGTTGGGCCTGTGCTTCCTCAGTTTGTTGAGGTGGGCACTTCCAGCAACACAGTCAGCACAGAGTGCACCATCGTTGTTGCAAGCTGAACAAGAAAACGTGGAATGTTATTCAACATCCATGACTACTGTTATGAGAATCAGATGCGCATGGAAGAGCATACAGTGGGTCATGTTCATATCAGAAGATGACAGGTAAGAAAGGAGTGCCAATTGCCACACTCCATGAACAAGCAGGGCAACAGAGGCTGCAGATTGGGGAATAACAAGCTTGGGATAGCTGCACTGCACCTGTGTACTTCACCTGTACACCTGAGGTACATGTTTAACGGAGGCTTTAGACATTCGTCTTTAGAAATCATGTCAAAGTTTGAAACGTTGCTAGTACCATCCTGAAACAAAACATGCATCCCCTTCCCACGATCTGCAATTGGCTGCAGCAGAAGAAAAGTGCACCAAACTTTACGATCAGGCCACAGATGGAACAACGGTCATAAAATATTTCATTGCTTCACAGCAATTTTGTAGTTGTTCTGGCACATCTGTAATCAGGACATAAACCAACAACACATTGTAAAATGCCAAGAGAGCAAAGTACCTGCATTTGTGAGCTTTGAGCAATACGTTCACGGCACAGTTTGAAGACAAGCGATTCAGGCAGCCCATCCTGGCCCAAGCCCTGCTCTGCAGACCCGTGAACTCCTCTGGAACCTCTGAGGAGGTGATGCAGTGAACCACCCATGCCAGCTGTGCAACCAGCACAATGGTGAAATGACAACACACCATGAAGTCTGTGACAGTACCTTGGATGAATGTGCTTTGACCTGCTCTGCAGTTCGGTTCGCTTGTCGATGCAGAGCATCAATACTGAATACACAAGTGCGACAGTAACTCCAAACTGCTCCCGCTGCAATACACATCTCTTGCTTCAGCCAAGATCTCTTAACGAAGCCCCTTGTGGTTGTGCTCTCCAGGTAAATCAAAAAATTTGAGAAAAATGGAGGAAACGAGAAAGTGGAAAAAAATGGAGCGAAATGGGAGCAAAACGCAATGGAGAATCAGATTGGTATGGAAACTCCCTGTACCTGAGTGATCCTCCAATTTCTTGAGTGTGTGTGGTGCCCTCTGGCAATGTTTGGACATCACGTCCAGGTGCACCTGCAGCTGTTGTGCCTGTTCTTGTGCATCGTGTTGAGAGGAACCAGAATCAGAAACAGTTCGAGAACTGGCGGCGCTGCTGAAAGAGGAGAAAACTGTCTTCCAGCGGGATCGGAGAGAGCCGGTGCCTGTGAGCAAGGGCAGGCAAATCGGCTTTACAAAAGAGCGAACACTGAAGACAGCTTGCAGCAATTCCGGGGCAGCCTCTGAGGCCAGCAAAGCACTGCAGGAAGAATTGTTCTCGCCAGCCAGCTTATGGGGGTTCATGAGATATGCACTGCACAGCAGACTGCCTGCGGCGCTGCCAAAGACAGCTGCACTGCCCTCACCAACCAATCAATCACCGCTGGATTGTCAATCCTACTGGTGTTCGGAAAAATCTCTGGCTACAACATCAAGACAATTCACAACAAAGCAAACTCGGCAAACAGCTCACTTTGCATATGCGGAGCAGAGTATGAATGCCGATGCCTTCCAATTCTTCTCTTATCTCCTCCAGCAGGGATGAGCTCCCAATGGAGAACGTGCAACACATGCCTGCCTATGCTGGCCACCTGCGCAACGACACCCAAACAGCAACTGGTGACATGCCATGACTAACAAAATTCAAAGTAGCCAAAGCTATGCACATGGATAAAATCTGTGGCATGAGCGTGAGAGATGAGAACCAAGAGAAAGAACAGATAATGGACAAGGTCACTGCTCATGATATTGATGTGGGTTGTGTGATGGCAATGCTGCCATAGCAGTTTTCTATCATGAAAGGGAATAGCAGGCACGTGCACCCCAGTAGCAAGAAACCTTCAATACTTGGCATATGGTGGATGCTGTGACAAGGATGAGGACGTGCATCACGTATGATCATGGACACACAACAACACCAAACTTGCTTGAAAAACCAAAAGCCCACAATCTTGTGGGGAAATTTCACTCGTTCCGTCACATGGCCAGAATTGGGACCAAAATCCAGATCAACCAATGCATCTGCTGCAGGGGGAACGAACCTCTGGAGCAGGATCTGTGGCCAGGAGGTAGATGGCCTCCACGATGTGGGCATACACACCAGTGTCCGTCCCCCTGGCCTCCTCCGTGCCGTCAGAATCATCTTCTGCTTGGAAATAGAGAGAAAATGGATGCTTCTCCACATCTGAAACACCTTGTGGCCCTTGGCAGTGCAGCAATGCAACAACACATCAGCAATCTGCACTTCAACCTACAGACTCAGTTGACCAGAGTCGTTGGAAGAAAGGCTGTCCCACAAAACAGCAGGTCAACGTTCCTCTCGCACAAAACGTTCAACCACCCACACCAAAGGACTGCACACCAAGGAACGATGTGGAACATGTGGCCATGCTCATTGCTGAAACTCCCTCTGCCACTTGGTTTGTTGTGGGCCCTCTCCAAACAAACATCCTGTTGGCCATGACGTTGCCTGTGTCCCCAGTACGCACTCACATGTAGTCAGCCATTTGAGCAGGACCACAACCAGTCGCAGGAGCCAAATATGGGCTGAATCTTGGTCTCTGCGAGCCAGCCATCCAGCAGTTGCTGTGGGCAAAGTCATAACATACCTGTTAGCATTTCGGACAAGTCTTCTGGAAGCCTGCCCCCTGAAGCGATCATGCCATCGTCGCTCCTGGAGTCAGAATACGACTGTTGGGCATTGTTCACAGCCCATCTGAGCACCTCCGATTGTGCGTCGACTCTCGAACTAGGTGAGGTGGGTGCCGACGAGGACCCAGGTTGCCAGGCTGTAGGACCAGGTGAAAAATGGCGCTGAAGAGCCCTGACCTGCTGTGCTGCACTCTCCTGGAACTTGGTCAAGTGCCCCTGGTTGGAGCAGAACAAAAACTATAAGAAGATATTCTGCCAAAGTAAAAGCTCGCCGACACTTTCTGGTGGTGTGCGGCACCCAATTGTACCACTTTTACAGGTGAAAAGGAGTTGTGTTCCCAGGAACAATGCCAGTTGTGTGTTACTTGCTGCAACGTGAAAGCACCAATTTGGTGACCACGGGGTTTAACCTTGTCCACAAGAACTGCATGTCCCATTTTGGCAATATCGAGAGCCACACGGGTCCACCAGGAGTCCAGCACCTTTGCTACGGCAGAACAACGTTGGACAGACAGTTGCTCACCTCCAGAAACATGGCATGCCCTGGTTTCATAACCAGCCTCAGAAGGGCAATCGCCAGCTCGGACCTGACCATGGGACTTCCATCGTAGAGGGCCTTGGGCCAAGGCACACTCCAAATAAGACAGCCAACAAGAAAGTATGAGGCAGAAATTACTCAGCCAGCACAAAAGGCAGCCCAGGAAATGAAAATTCAAATCATGTTCTCACAGTTGTCATTTTCCCGTTTCTATGTAGGCAGGAAGCCTTTCAAGTATGACGCAAGGATTTTCAGAGCTGTGCAAACATGGGACAGAGTCAAACCCATGCCATTTGTGATGTTCTTGACCACATGCCACTCCAGCCAGTACCCAAGATGACAACATGCCTATTAAACATATGGTAGCGCACACTGGTAAGATGGATGGTCATCACCTTGTTCACAATGCATGAACAAATAAGGTTGTACACTGGGGAGATTCTATTGGCACTGGCCTGTTTCCCTGCCTGCAAAACTCATCATGGTTTTGCAGCTGGTCGATGCCATAAACTGGGTAGAAGCATAACGGGAAATAGCAGGTTCTCCATCATTAGTGACAACATGATATGCAGGGCAACATGGGGTCAGCAGTTTGTGCAGCCTTCCATCGTTTTAGTTCCATAACAGTATGAATAGTCTGGATGTGTATGTCCTGTCATTGCCTGTTGATTGCAAGGGCACTGTTTTCTATCTCTGGAGAAGGCAGTTGCAACCAAAATGGACTTCCAGCTAGCGAATATGTCAACGTCGATGTTTCCACAGTAGTACTGCAAATAGGGCCAAACCTGAGCTCACCAGTAATAGTCTTGAAGCAATGGCACGTTCGTTGATTATCCATTCAGGCCCCACCCCGTCCATGTTTGAATGCTCTGACTGAATCATAGCCCCCATGCCAAAGACCGCTGCAGCGCGCACTTCAGGGTCACCCACTTGTAGAAACCTAGTGAGCACCTCAGGCAAACTCTCCTGGAGAGCCTTGACAATGGCCTGCATAAAACAGCTGGATACAATTGCCATCCGCATTGCCTCCCACAGGCCATTTCCGCAGGCAAAGGACAGCCAACTGTTACAGTGCTGCAGTGGAAAAGTTGCATAGCTTGGCAGTTGGGAGGTTGATTGAAAACTGGTGAACAAGATGCTGCCGCAAGTTGCAAAAAATGGGCAATTTTGCACATTCTTCCCTCTTCGTTCCAAAATCTGAGACCACGGAAACAGTATCATGCCTTGAGAAGTGCAGGTGTGCCTTTTTCCGTTTCCCATACGCCAAGAACGACGACTTAGACGCCAGAGGGCCACTTGGAAATACAAGCACAAGAGAAGCAACAAGATGCCGTCCACTCACCTCGGGTCTATCTTCGCAGACACTTCCTATGCACATGCTCACCCATTTCCACATATTGGCCAGCGCTGGTGGTGTGTCCTGCGTCACTTGCACCAGCAGTTTGCCAAGAATGGACAGTAGGCCACCCTCGACACACACAAGCTGGCCCTGTTCGGCATCAAAGCAAACCTTAGTTGGGTATGTGCAAGCAGTGATCCTGTCCAGAGCCCACACTGTGGAGAAAACTGCATTCCAGATGATTGAATAGAGGCATCTGACAACCCCCAAGTGCAAATCAGCTCTTGCGCAACCTGTCAACACTAATAAGCTGTATTCACCCTGGAGAGGTCTGGAGGTGTCTGACCAGGCAAACACTGATGAACAGCTCAGCACTGAGCGAGAGCATCAATTTCGCAGCCGCAAATGACCGTGTTTGCAATGTGTGAAATGGTTGAGCGCGCAGGTGCTTTGCGATGGGCACTGCAGATGGCCTCCTTATACATGCCCTGCTTTGTGGCTTTTGCCTCCCTGCAGTGCCCCAAGATGTCGCAATGCTCCACTTCAGCCAGACAGATTTTCCTGTTGGCTGCACTGAGAGCAGGGCATCCAACTAACCAAATGTTGGAGCACCCTGCAGTAAGGCCCCGAAGCTGTTGAACTTCTGAGTTCCTTAGGCACCTCTGTGAAAGTGGTTATCAGCCAGGCGACAGGTGGAGCGATTGGAAAGCAGGTGATCCACAATACTAGGACCTCTGAACCAAAGACAGCATCACATGCAAACAAGCTCACTGCAAGCAAGAGAGGATGATATTAAGCAGCGCAGCATAGGTGGCTACAGCTGGGGCACGGTGCTGAAACAGCAGTATCCAATTTATGCTTTTACGTATAGCATCACTTGCCTTGGGATGCTTCCTGCACATCACAGCCAGTATAAATGCGGCAAGGGCCTTGAGGTCAGCCTGTCCAGGTTCCATTGCACTTTCAAGGAAGTGGACAAAGTACAGGTGGCCATTGTCCTTCACGAGGTCAACCTGTGGATGAACAGGACAGGGTGATAATGCATTGAACCAAACAACTTGCAGAGCCACATTTCACACAGGGCATGCGGCATGAAAGCAGGGGTGCTCAGTGTACTCGAAAGGCTTGCAATTGTTTGCATAATCAGTGATGGACGTTGCAGAGGCTCAGCAGTGATTGTGACACTGTGCAGTCACTTCTCTGCACAACTGGCTGACAACCAGCAAAACACCCTGCCACCAAATTCTACGACATCAACAAGAAGTCGAACCCACAAGCAAAATGACGCAGCATATACTATTGAACCAGTGTAGATGTCATTACCTGGCATGCACTGTCGAGGGACATAATCTTGGCCCAGATCGATATCAAAGTGTGCTGGAGGTCTGGTGTCGTCGTCTGGAGCAATTTCAAGACATACGGAAAGATCCCAACAGACAAAGCCAAATCCACTGCCCATGTGCCCAGCTCAAGGAAGCCATTCAGCAGCTCCAGGGCACACAGTCGATGAACAGGACTCAGCAATACCTGTGGAAGAAAGTTGCAGAACAGCGGCTCACATTTTGGTCCCAGACACACTGCAAATCACACTATTATGAACTGCAGCGTTAGCCTCTCATGGTTGTTGCCATCTTGGTGCAAGGTGGAAGAACAAATATCACTGTCAAGTGGCCATCTGCAACACTACAGACCCAGTATCAGCTGTATTCAGATGTGTCTCCCCCTCCAGAGCTTAATGCAGAGTCCGCATAGGCCTCTTCCATGTAAATGTTTGAACGATATCAGCCACCAAGAGATCCAGTGATGGTCAAAGACTCACATGCTTGTGGCAGCAGAGGGTTGCACAGTGCTATATATGACCCGTGAAATAGTAAGACAGGCGCTTTATGTGTGGGAATGCACAACTTCCTTCACTCGGAGAGTGAGCGTGCCTGGAGCTGCTGTGCACTGCTCCCACTACCGGTTTCAGATCCTGTGGCACCACTTTGAGGTGCGCTACTCCGTCTCATGAACATTGACTTTGTGTCCCATCGTGTCGCCTGGCAAAGGACATTGCTTTTGTCTGAGCGCGAGCTGGCACTACAGGAGCATGTCACCAGAGTCAGCAAATAGCGGACATGGTCACACGTCCACCTGCTGCAACGTGGTGATGGCAATGTCCGTGCTCCATCATGGTAATTTGATACCTAACTTGCAGGACAGAAGTGCCCTTTTGTGCATGGCTGCCTTGCTGGCCCATCCTTGTTCAGTGCAATTTCTTGTCGCCCAACCCTGCTTGCTTTCAGCTTTGAACCCCAGTTTCAAAAGAACAACACAGGCAGGAGCCAAATGAGAACAGCCAGCAGGGCAGCCATCCTATATGTCGATTTTTCAGGTTAACATCCTGGAGAGCTGGTTCTTCCATAGTTAGAACGTGCTAGAGCACTGCATTTTTTGTACCTTGTGTCTTTGCTGGTGAGCCCAGCAGAGTGTGTGCGAATTCTGGGCCTTACTTTTGTCACAAAACACATGACAAATCAAGGCCCTTGCACCTGGAGAGGGGCTGACAGGTTCATGGTCAATCGAATCATCGATCCAAGCCCTACCCACGCCCAACTGGGTGCAATGTGTGTACAGCGATGTGTGCACTTTGTGTGTCTTGTACGTCTTGTACAGTTCGTGAGTGACTTCCATCTCAGTGTTCGCACATGAGCAAGGCAATCCATTTATCACCAGTTGCTGTTAAACAGCATGTCCAAAGACAGATTGCCGTGTTATGTGCTAGCAGCAAACTGGCATCTCATTCCCAGTTGCTCAGTCAAGTTCCATGCTCAACAACAACTGGAACTCTGGCACCTGCGATTCTACACCCAGAGAGGCTACATTCTATCAAACAAAGAAAGCAAAAGCTCGGAAACATTGCTGCAGCACATACCATCTCGTGAGTGTAAATACAACAAGTAAGGCTGCCAGGATTAGATGTTCTTTTAACAAATGCAAAGACTGGCTGAATGGACGAAATCAACAAAGGAAATGCAAAACCTTAGCAGCAATTTCCAGCTGAACGACTCAGCAACGCATTTCCACACTCCAAAGCAAAAACATCGAAACACGAGCACAACATTATCAGAAAAGAACTTCAAGCACCTGCAGCAGAACTTCATTGTTTTGGCATGCTTTCATTGGAAGGGCATCTGACCTGGAGCACTATTGGCAGTTGCCTTGGTGGTGGCTTGTGCCTTGACCCTTGCTTCAGCCAGAGGCGGAAAGCATCGAGCTGCTCAGCAAAAAATGTAGTTGGCTTGAACGTGTTCTGTTGACTCTGCTGCAAGAGCGTTGGCAGCTGTGCCAGAACCTGCTCGGCTGCCATGTCCCATGACTGCCACATAGGATGTTGGTATGTTGGTGGCAACCTGAAGCACAAGTATACAAGCCTTTGAATCTGCACCAAAATACCTAAACCTTGCATAGATGTTCGATTTTGCAGCTTTCTTCCCATTGCTGAGCTTTGTAGCTGTCTCATCTGCTCAGAAATTGGACAGCATACCTTCCACCCAAACTGCTGACCAAACATATGCTTTTGTGGTTCTTGTTCAAAGGGTCAGATGAAATCAAGAGTTCTTGTCAAGCAACAGGGAATACAAAAAAGCTGGCTTCAACCTGAATGCAGCTGAGCCTCACCTGGGGTAGGATATAGGCATTACCCCTGAAGCTGACATTATACGCTCTGCCAAAAGGAAGTTGCGGAACAAGGAAGCCACGAGCAGGTCCTGGGCATCGGCAGCAGGAAAACATCAATCATTCCAGTCACCACAGCGAGCAGAAAAGTCAAGAAGCTCTCACATGCATATACTTTCTGACCTCAGGACCACAGATCCATGTAAAGATCTGCTTGAGTGGTGAGAGAGCACAGTGGACAATGCCCCCAAGTACAATCCCACCTGGCGAAACAATTTCTGGAAAAGATCTCTTGGGAGCACATTCCAGGCTATGGTGTCTGTGATCGCTGTGAAGATCCAATTTAGCTCTCCCAGAGGCGTCTTTCTGTCACTGGGGTACCCTGGAATGTTGTCCACCATGTCTGCTGTCAATGTCTGGTCCCTCACTAAGCTCCTGGGCAGCAACCACCTCAAGGCAACCTGCCATGCAAAGCAAGAGAGTCAATGAATCACAGGTCACCAGCACAGCTCTGACGCCAGGATGCTGGTGAAATCATAACATCAGAGAGGCATAGCAAATCTAGTGCTACTGCACAAAGTGCTGGAACAGCGCTTCTGCAAGCCAGACCTATACCAGTGCTGTTGCCGCACAATGCTGTTGCAAAACGACTGTAACAAACGCAAAGCCACTCATCCCAGCAGCCGGGCAACTGGTATTATTGCAGCTCCATTCTCTTTAAGACCTGATAATGAATGCAGATGAAGGGAATAACGCGATTCCAAGCACTGTCATACAGCTCACCCAAAAAGTTGCCCTGTCTATATTCAAAATGCATGGATGTCAGTGGCCTCAGCAGTCCACATCTGAAATTTGCACTCCATTGACTGTGCAGTTTTGAGAAGGACACTGACAACTGAATATTCCAGAATTGGAGCCACAACAAGAGCATGCCCTCCTCCTGCCACAGAAAATGAAGCTGGGGTGAACAAATCAGCAATGGTGACTAGGGAAGAGAAAGAAAAGAAAGAAACAATGCAAACCTTTAATGGGGTAGTCAGGCATGCTGTGAACACATCGGCTGCAAGTTCAGGGTCCTGTGGCAGTGTCTCATTTGCCCTGCATGCTGCCAACAGGATTATATCCTTCATCGGGTCTCCTGTGTGACAGGCAAATGGGGAATAACCCACAGCACCCGCCTGCCCCAAACAAGCCCAAAAGCACAAGAACGAAAGTTAGGGAATAATACGAAATGACACAACTTGGCACAATGTGAATGAAGAAAGTCAGAATTACGACAGCCACTGTCACGTGCACATCATTCACCTGCAGCACTGTGGAGGTGTGAGGGCACATGGTGAGCCTAAATTGCAAGGTGCTGACAAAATGCTGACAACTGAAGACACACTGCACTGACATGGGCAGCTAACAATGCGACAGCACTGAATGGATATTGCAGACACTGCACAGGCCACCATCACAGACCAGACACTGCAAACTAAGCATTGCAAAGTGCTGTGAAGAAGCGCTGTGGTTGCTGTCCCATGAGATGTCTTATGGCACAGACCACGCAAAGGCTGACTGGACACAGAGGGCCACAACAGAAGCCAGCCATTCCCCACTCAGCACAGAAACAAATGTGGGTTCGTGGCTTTCGTCACAGCTGGGCCCACATGTGCACTGCCACAGTGCTTTGCATCGAAAAATACTGTGCCTCAATTTCAGCTCACACCATGAAGATAACAGCTGCTGCTGTTTTGAAACATCCACACAACAAGCAATGACTGTGATTGTCTCAACTGCTGCATACAGAAGTGCAGCACAGTCAGGCATCAGCTCAAACTGGCAAGCCTCCCACTTACATCTCTTTTTCCCTGCTCCATGAACGCCTTGAAGGAATTGACGATCGTCCCAGCTGAGGGACAGTCTAAGACATAAATGACTGGGCTGCCAACCCATGTCTGCAGGTCATAGATGGACAGGGGGATATATTGTGTGTACTGGCTGTTGAAGACCCAAATCTCTCCATTGTTTGTTGGCCGGGGAACCCCGTGGCCATTGTAGTGGAACAGCACACGCTCATTCTTCGCAAACCGCCTCAGGGTGGTGCAGGTCTTGCGGACATTCTCTACGGTTGGGTCAGGGCAGTGCCTGTACTTCGCCCTTGGCTGCCATCGCTCATATTGAGCCTGAAGATTTTTGACTGCAGACCAAATGGGCCAATGAATGAGGTCAGTGACAGGTGTTGTGATGACACAGTGAAATCTGCAGCACACAAGTCCAAAACATGACACACAACCAGAGCTGTTGCCTTTCATTATGGAATTGGTCACTTTGCTATATCATCTGGAACATCATTCAATAAATGACGAATTCCTGGATCGTGCCAATAATCACAGAACTGCAAGGCTATCTTCCAGGAAGTGGACTGCTTGAAAGTGATTTCAACTGTTAAACGCGCAAATCTGCACCCAGCGAATTGCCATCGACAAGAGCTTTACCTGATAAACCTTGAGCCGACATGAAAGCAGTCAATGGGTACCTGACAAAAGAGCTGTGACTATCGTCCAGACTGCACAAAAGGATGCATCAGAATGTGCAGGCAACACAATGACTGGCTTCCACACCTATGCAGTCAAGGGCTTTTTGGGCGGGCATCGCTCCAGGGTCCAGCCAGCAGTGCTTCCTGGCGCAGGGCGAGATCTTCAAGACGCCGGGAGGGTCGACGCCAATGTTCAGGCACACCACAAGGGCCACCGCAGAAGTCTTTATCTTCTCCTTCTGATGCCATTTTGACACGAGCCCTTGGGATGGGCCAGCCTCCGCCTCAGTGTCCATTGCCGATTCGTCAGGGTCCTGCGGAAATCGCAGCGACGAATGTGTCAACAGCTTCCTCGCAACAATGGCACCGGGCGCGCATCGCTGCCCACAGACGCCGTGCGCGAACCGCGCCAAACCCTCCAGGTTTCACACAGTGTCCCGCTCGTTCGTTGCCACCTCCTGGCAACAGCTACGCAGGTATTCGAAGCTCTCTTCGCCTCCGTCTGCAGCGGGGCAGCGCCCAAGAGGCGCTTCTTTTTGCGGCCCAAAGAACTGGCGGCAATCGCAATCAACGCCGCAGACAAACAGCCCCAGATCGAAGACCGTGCGCGCAGACGTCTCGCGTCAGGGATTTCTCCAGCCGCGCCTTTCGCAAATTCGGATGCTCGCCAAATGCACGCGGAGCCATGAGGGGACCGCGGAAAGGGGCCCAGAATGGCCGTCCGAGAGCACATGCGGAACCACAGCCGAAGGAGCGACATTCCTGCCTTTCAGAGACCCGTCTTGGCACTCCCAAGCAGTGAGACAGCGGCCAGTCGTCCGCGGGCGAAACGCACCTTGGGATGGCCTTCGTCGGAGCCACTTCGCCGCGCAAGGCCTTGTCACTCACATGATCCCACCGTGAATGGAGTGTCAAATTTGAGGTATGTGCGGATATGGCCTTCGCGACGTTTTTTTGGGCCCGACACCCGCTCTCCTCAACACCTGCTTTGTATCGTTGTAACTTGCGAAGCGCTATGTCGATTTTGTTGCACTTACCGGCAATTTGACGTTAAGCTCAGTCCCCACCCCCCCACTCTCCCTTTCTTGGCGTCAATCCTTATGTCGATTCCAGGATGACTCAGAAACATTGCCTAGCAGTGGAACACAATTTCCGCTGTTCTTGAGGTGAAAAAACACTCAGATGTGTACAAAATTTGGCGGGCTGAAGAATGGGTTTTTCAAAGCCACTATAGGCAGACGGGCAGCCTCAATGGCTGGAAATTGACACATTCTAAGGATTTCCTTATAAGACATAACATTACAGGGAGGTTTAGGAGCAAGTCACGAGTGTTTTGCTGCCGATCAGCAGTATATTTGAGGCATCTTTCCTCTTTATGTCGATTTTGTTGCGAATACATAATCTCTTAGCATCAGATGTCACGAGTATTTTCCTAGTCAATTAAACAATTCACTAATTGGCTTACGTCCTTCGTCGCTGTTGATGGGGAGGTTTGGTGCCCTTTGAATTGCGCGTTTTCTTCCAGCGGACCGCACAATTATCGATAGCATCATCCTTGGGCTTGTTTTCCGTATGTGCGTGGTCAGCCGCCCATCCCTAGGAGCGGTAGAAAGTTGGTTTCGGACACACTTTGCTGGTGCCGTCTGCAGTGTCGATACGTACTGACACAGCAATGTCGTTGCAATGGCATTAACTTACATTAATACGCCATGCAACATACGCCATATGATGTGTCCTGGAGATGCATATGTGTCGAAACCTACAGCTCCGCATGCGCAGAGACTAGCGAAGTGCTTGATCCTAATCTCCTGTTCACCATCCATCTGGTGCTATGACAATTCAGGACTCGCTTCTCCAACAAACCCTCCAATGATTGTCGCTGTACCGCGACAAACCCATCCTCTCCGGCAGGCCAGTCCCGACTTTGCGGCGTTCCCGTTAGGAATTGGCCATGCAATCTCTCAAGAGCCTTCGTCCACCTCTCACAGCCGTTCGAAATCAGTTCAACACCAAACGGCATCATCCTGCGGATTTCAATTGGATCTGTTCCAACTAGAGTTGTCCAGTTGATTCAGCTGGACAGCCAATAAATCCCAATGTATCCCGTACTCCCAAGAGCCATGCGGCAAGCCCCAGTAACAATTGGCCTGATGTGCGCCACAATGGGCCCATTTATTTCCACACACGGCTAGATCTTTTCATCTTGGCTAGGGAGCAGCATCACCGCAACGAAGTTTCGATGCAGCGAGACGTTCAAGTACGCGCTCGCGAGGCGCATTGCTCTCAACTCGCATCTGCTCCAGATGCCGGGGTCTGCTGCAGGAGAAGGAGCACCTGCATAAACACGTCGGTCATGAAGATGTGTTCCTTTTGTACATGTTGTTACTTCATCGTTCGTAAGCCATGTTCATGCCATTTCGCAATATTGTCGGTGGTTTCAGTATGAATACGAAGTAAAAAAACAATGTAAACATGTATTTAATCAGTCACATTTTGTCTGCCGGCGCAGTTTTATTCTACGTTGGCAAGCACCGTGCCGCCTGCTGACGCAGTATACCACAAAGCGCGGACATTGGCATGCCAATATTTTTAATTGGTGAACATGTTAGGAAACGGCCGCTGCATGCATCGCAGCAAGCGCGTGGCTTCCATCATCTTATATAACCTCGTGTTTTGTGTCAAGTCAATTTTTGGTCAGTTAAATTGGCTTTTCTGGCAGTGCAGTTTTGGTGAGAGACACTGTTAGGTTGTGTGTGGGCAATATGGTGAGTGGTATATTACCACGATTGTGTGAGGCACGCACCATTATGAAGCCGTTGTTGAAGCCCAGTATTGAGGCTATGCTCATCATGTTTCTCTTCTCTTTGCTGTTCGCACCACAGATCTCGTTTCAAACAGAGCAATTTGAAGCAGGCAAGCTTTCCGTCAGGGCGACATTCTCGCACTACCATGTCGAAGGTGCGCTACCATGCCGAGAAGCTTTGCGGAACCTGTGGACATTCTCGTTTATTGATAGTGTATCATCGGCGAAGAGTTTCAATGGCTTTAATTGACAATGAAGTGCGCAATATGTACGTTATTATAGTTTCTATCATCCCGTGGTTTTCGGAACGCCCTACTGCTGCTAGCCAGTGCGCGTAACAGACACTAGGAAAAAAGGTACAAATAACGCTGGTTCAAACATGTACAAAGATTACGGTTTTGGGGGTATTTCCGTCTTTTTAGAATGCAGAACACTGACGAAATGCATATATATGTGTTCGCAAAATGTGTTATTTGGTTATTTGGTTTTCGCTAATGAGAACGGCATTCAAAAACCCACGCATTGAGAGGAAAAACTTCTGTTGCTCGGCATAACATCCCATACAACACGTACGCAAATTGGAAACAGCGCCGTTGCCCACAGCGGATTGAACCATTCACGTATTGTTTGCAATCAATAAACAACACAACGCAAACTATTGTTTACAATGTTCGAGCACGTTTCCGCCGTCCCCCATTGCTCTCAGCTTTGAACACTCCTCATGCATTTTTCGCGGATTCCTACTACTCACTGGAGCATGTACTGGCAGCGATTGCGCCGCAGATAGATCTCCACTGTGTACTGCAGGCAGGTCCAGATTGCCAGTTCGATGGAGGTGAAGTAGACAGCCTCGTTGAACACTGACTGCGAGACGGTGTGTATAAAAGGGAAGCCCGCGGTATCCTTGGAAGGGCCGAATCGAATCGCAAGTGACAGAATGATGAACGACCCCTTGGCGGCGACTTCGCAGTAGGTCTTCACCAGCAGCGGCTTCAGCTTGAGCGGATCCTGAATCGAATGCACAGTTTGGTTCAATGCCTTTGGCTTTTGATGGTCACGTCATTTGTGATTCCATTCTTGGGCCTGGCAGCCCTGCTCTGCTGATCTCCCCTGGATCTGACTTCTGCCTCCCTTGCTTGATGTGCGGCATGCCATACACTGCCAGAAAACGGCAGGTTTGCGATGCCAACTGCGATGCCCTTTTGGCACAAAGTGATGCCGTCACAGTGATTGCGATGGCATAAAAGCGGCTGCGATGGCATCAATTTGTGTGAAATGGCATCGCAATTGGCATCGCAAACAGGCTGTCTTTAGCTGGTAATACTTCGCGATTGTTTGGACTGGGATTTCTGGGTGTTGTCTTTCGATTCAAGACCCTGTGAGGTACAGTGCTTAAGGGGCATTATTGATTCGTACACATCGGATGCAGTATTCGTATTTAAATTTGTTCATAAATTTCCCTTGCTGCATTCCTACGGCGGGCTTTCTCCGGCGCCCTGGCAATCGCTGCACGACTATGGCATGCGATGCGCTACGATATGTGGCAACATGTGGCGCGCATAGAATGCCTTGTTTGAAAAGACACGCTGGCCACGGCGTGGTGAGAAAATTGATGTGGTTACATTGCAGGCTCCGACACGGACGCTGGTAGTTCGTTTCGGAATACGGTTCGATCGATACCGGAGAAGCGTATCAATTCTTTCCATGGGCGAAATAAAATATTCTTTTCGGCTGTGCTGCCACGATTCGTTCTGAAAGAACACTCCCCACCTTGACCCACCGAAGGAACACGTCCAGGCCCTCCGTAAAATCATCGTCTTCTGCGCTGTTCTTGTGTCTCTTGAGCAGCACGATGTTTTTCTTCTTGGCGAACGCGATGAGGGGCCCCGATAGCAAGAGGCACCCGAAATCGGTGATGTTGAGCAGGATGAAGACGATCAACGGCCTTACTTTTTCTTCGATTCCGAGGAACACAATCATCTGCAAATGACGGCGGGCGCATCAGTCCAGTAAGCCAATGGATGAATTGGCAATTCGTGAATGGTGTGACGAAGCAGGCAATCCCGGAACTGCAGAAATCATTTGGCGCTTATAATAAAATGTAAAATGCGACGAAGCAAGCAATCCTGGAATTGCAGAACCGTTTTGGCGCCTGTCACAAAATGAACCGCACGACGCGTATCTGAACTCAGCGTATTGGTCCCACACAAACTCTTTTATTTCTCCCTCGAATTCGAATGCGAATCTGGTTGCCGCACCTGCGCTACCCTTTCTCGTTGCTGCAGCGTATTCGCGTGTTTGCCATCGAATTCCAACCAGAGCAGCTGCTTACAGCTCGAACATCATTTGCACTAAACCTTCAACTGAGCCAGTGTTTCGATTGAGGGGAACTCCTCAAAGATTCCCAGCCGTTCAAATTGCCGTAGTATATTCAACCCTCGTGAATTTTGAAATTTCGGCGCTACTCTGTTTGCTCGCACTCTTTTCCGACAA